AAAACGTGAACGTTGCTGGATTGTTATACATAATTCCAACATCCACAATGAAAAGAATCATTCATCTCGGTCTTTTCCGAAAAAGTGACCGTTGGAAATTCTCACGCGACATAACCCAGAAATAAAAAGGCTAAAAGATTTATCTGATTGTGAGACAGAACGTCCTTTGTGAAAGTAGACAAACATGAAAAAGGGCCGTAGTTTCTATGCTCTGGTAAAATAGCTGTCGCTGTTGGATACCTGCGTTACTTCGCAGCAGCAGAGCAGAGGAAAATCGAGAGGAAAAAATAATATAAAGACGCCGTATACATGGAGAGCGGAGAATTGGAGGGCTCGTATTAAAGCGGGCTGTAATCTATTGGTGTAGTGGTAAATGTGTAGAAGCTCTAGGTATATAGATAGATCTCTAGGGTAGATGTAAGGATGAAAGAGAAGGAACCCGGGAGGGAAGTGAGGAAATGGATGGTATGCCAGGGGCGGCGAGGTAGGTCCTCCCCCTCTCCCTGTGGCTCCCCGCTGCGTTCCCGAGCTGTTCGCTTCTCTGTTGAGTCGGTCGTTTCTGCTGTTCCATCATGTGGGATGAGGACAAGCAGGCGCGCCAGCAACGGCAGCGACCGATTGACCAGCAACAGCAACACACAGGCGCAGTACGAGCGTGGAAAATTCCACTCCTATTTCGCCTCCGCCCTTCGCAGCAGGAGTGGCAGAATAGAGAATGGAAGAGGGGAAGAGCTATCGTTTTTATTGCGTTCTCTGCAAGCGCATTAACCCACGGTGCGGTTGAGTAATGTTAGCTTGTACTCGGTTATTACATTCCCGTTGGCTATACAAGCGACATGCGGCTATATATTTCGTTATTATGCCTGAAACATTGCCTCACGTGATTATTCCATAAACTGGAATATATCATATAGCGTACCTGAATATCGAATGCAAATATTTGATATAATTTATGCGACCAAGTTGAAACAAACGCATTGTTCTGATTTGCAATAAGCTGTTTATACTTATTAAATATTTTATTGTGGTACCTTAAAGAGGATATTGCGAACAGTTTGTAACGGTAAAATGAAAGAGTAATATTTTTTACGCGATAACAAAAATCTCATTCGATTTTTACAAGTTTGTTCCGATTCAAGTAATCGAGTTTTAGTATTTTATACGTTATTTACGTTTATAATTTGATTAATACTGGCGCCATGTTGTATAAATTATAATGTTTGTAACAGTCATACAAGTCTGCCAGAACGGATGAAAAGAAAGTACGCGGCATGATAAAAAGTAAGAAGGTTGCGAGTCAAAACTCTATTGGACCGGAATGCCATAATAAGCTCGAACGTAATACAGCTCTCCCCCCTTTCCATCCGTCTCCTCACTTCTGCCCCTCTTTTTCTTTATCCGAGCGGCATAACTTGAACAAAACTCATCAAGAAGAAATCGAGCTTGGAATACTGTGCGCAACTTGTGGTAAAATCGGGTTTGAGGGGAAGTAACAGAGGGAAATGGTGGGTCAATGTACGTTACGAAGCGTGTTCCGTCTCTTTCCCTCTCTCTTTCGCTCTCCCTCTTTTTCCCCATCCTTAATCTCCTCCTCTTCCACCTCTCTTTTCCTCCTCCCACTTCCCGCACTAAGTTACGCCGCTACTATATCGTGATAATCTTGCCTGCTCCATAAAGGGGATTACCTTCTCTGCGCCAAACTAACGCAGTCATTGCTCATACTAGTACGGAGTTTCTACCAGCCGTAGAACAGAAGTTACGGCGGAGTGGGGGGAGACGGGGAGGGATCGATAGTCAAGTATTTCTCGGATGTAAATACCAGTGGCAACCGGGTGTATATTGGACCACCCAATTGCATGCTTGCAGCTTTACAGCGCTGGCTCGCAGCAATATCTAGTTGGCCGATTACGCCGCTTTCATTAGCTTTTAAACGGCGGCTTGCAAATATAATCAACTCATTAGTAGACAATAGAAAAATATTATGAGTTTTCCTGTTATGTAAAACGAGAGAGGCGAACAAGTAATGACTTTCATATTCAATCAGGCACAATTTGTAGACACCGAGGCGAAGCGTGTCGCGACTAGTGGCACTCTGTCACAGATTTCTATTCACCGTGAGTGAGTGACGTCATCGAAATTTGTTTGCCTCATAGGCTGCTCCGTTGATAATTTAATCAGCAACTACTTTTGAAACAGATAACGGTAACTTGTTTCCGTAACTTGAATAATTTATATGCAAACGAACCGCCTTTCCTTTCCTTCTGCCTAGGGGCGTGGCCAATGCAAACGAGTCCCGAACAATTATTCTACTCATCCCCGTAGTGCTTTCTCTAAGTTTACCAAATAAAACAGACTCAACTCTACGAAAAAGAGGAGGATTCTAAATATAGAATCCAGGCATTGTGCGCTACTCGAATGTCTGGGACCGAGATTCGTTACGATCAATAGACGGCAGATTCGGCCGTTTTCGACATGTTCCGTTAAGTTCCCCTACTATATTCGTCCTCATCGACCTCTAACCATTACCGGCCACGCCTTGCTCGTATGAATTCCGTCAGCTAAACTGGTTATTCGGAATGCAATTATACCATTTGAGCACTATAATAGATTTCCCTCGTAAATCTAGCGTTTGAAAAGTGCGGCTCGCTTATTTTTTTCCTGTACATATGACGATTAATTTTTAATAATAATAATATCTTTATTGAATTCCCCTTAGGGTTACAGTCTGATTTTTCAACTCATTCTACGTCCTAATCTAAACTAAATCTAACCTTAAACTTAAATCTACGACATAATTCTACGGAATAATTTTAAATAATATATCGAATTTCCTCACGAGTTAGGTATTCACCAGAAAAATATGTCAAACGAAAGTTTTACAATTTTAAAGTATACGTATACATACAAATATTTTATACCATGTTTTATGAGATATCACTGTTGTCGATATTTTTTCAAAATAGACACGTGATTTTTCTAACACAATACAATTTATACTATGATCATTGTGCGAATGAGAGTATTGAGGTAATATATTGTAAAATTTTCATTTAATATCTACAGAATGACATTTCATCAGAAAAGGTTCAATTTGGGGAAAAAGTCGGTATGTCCTTTAAAAGGAATTTGAATCAGCCTGTATATGCACAAATATCAAATTCGTGTGATTGCAGATGCACTCGATTACTCGTATTTCCGCACATACAAATTTCTCAGAAGCCAGTGTACCGTGAAATCAAAAAAAGTGATGAAGTTATAAAATTTACAATGATAAACTAATCGTGAGTTCTAATACGAAAATTTCATAAAGAATGGAGAAACATATTTGGCACGGTTGCGAGGAGTAAAGAGTACGATCGTCCATCATGACGATCTAGCTTTGAGTCCCACGAATCGCCGCACTGGTTGGTATTTCCGACCACCACGGATCAATGTCACGACGGTTGTCCGGCGGTGCCGGGGAGGAAACAAGTGCCGCTTCCGTCGTTTTAAATTTCCACGGAACCAGAAGAACAGTCGCGAAATTATGGATATAAATCGTCAGCGGTGCTTTTAAGTACAATGGATGACAGGCGGCAATTGGACAGTTGGCGTTGACGGTTATCGCCGCGGGAATTGCACAAGTGAGGGATTCAGTTGAAAGCTGCGGTATTCGGAGGCAGGAGTGCGAGCGAGAGGGAACGAAGAGCGGGACGGGTGGGGAGGATGGGAGGGAAAGAGGAAACTTGGTAGAAGAGGGCGGCGAAGGTGGAGGGAGGGAAGAATGGTAGGAAAAGCGCAGAAAGGGGACGAATAGCACAGAATAGTTTAACAGGTTGTGGTTACGAGCGGCCGGCGCCGCTCATTGGCTCCCCACCCGTACTTGAGTACACGTTAGGTTAACTTAATTTCCACTCTGCGCTCTTTCCACCGCCGCCTCTCCCCGCGTTGCCCTTCTCTTCCTTAGCCTTCATCTTCCTCTATTTGTTATTATCCGTCTGCCTGTCAGCCTGCCTGCTTGCCTGCCCGTCTGTCCGGCTGCATCAGCATGTGAATACTTTTTATATTCGCTGGGTTCCGCGCAGAGGATCTGAATACTCGTGCGTCGCGCGTGTGTAAGTATACAAACACGTATGTAAGCACGGTAACGAGAGTGAACCCCCCCTCTCCCAACCCTCGCCTGGCGTTAAGGGACGCGGCAAGAGCAGGTAGCAGGGAGAGAGGCGGGGAGAGGGACGAGGAGCGATGGCAGCTGCAAGAGAACAAGAGAAAGAGCGAAGGGGGTCGGGAGGAGTATAGTGTTGGTGGTTGGGGGTGGGGGAGCCAGAGGGGAGGGAGAGTAATAATCCTGCCGTCTGGAACGGCAAACGGCGCAGGCTGCTGGCTCGCAAGAGCGCGCGCGCGCGCGCGCCTCTTTACAAAGCAACGTATTTGAAAACGCCAAAGTCGTCTTCGACAATTCATACAGAGTTAATTATCCTGCCGCTCGTGCGCGACCGACGTCACCTACATCTTTCGCTACCCCCTATATCGGGTACCTCGATACTAATAATAAACTCAGACTGGACGCGCGTACAGGGGCGTACGGGACCTCATAGCCGCGGTCGCCGCCGGGGACTGCACATCACGTCGCCGAACTCTCGTTTGAGGTCCGAGTGTGGTGGTGGTGGTGCTGCCGTGCTCTGAGCGGACCGCCCGCAGAAGTGATCATATGACGCTGTCAGTCATGTCGTAATCAATGTCATGCTGTGCGAGAGAGAGGGGGAGGGGGAGACACAGCGAGCTGCCGAGAGGAAAGCGCGGGAATAGGATCATGTTGGCGCGCCGACGACACCTGCGACAGGAAGATGACGCTTTTTTTCTCCCTTTACGCCGATCCGCCGCCACCGCGGTCCGTAGCGGCGAGATAGGACCGCGTGATATCCCCCGCGCCCTTCCGTGTTCCGCGCCGGCGAGATTCGAGAGAGCGCGCGTATTTAATTGACTTTACCTACCGTTGAGCATCGCGGGGCTCTTACCGATTCGAAGGGAGTTTTAAGCTCATAAACGCCAGGCCGCCGGTAGTGCGCCGCGGGACAGTGTTGCGTACCTCTCGGGTCTTCCTCTTGCGGCTCTGGCCTCGGTACACATGAGTCCGTCGCGGTCGCTCGCGCGACTCGGAGCGCCCGGCCCGCTCTCTCGAATCCGCGGACTCCCGATCGAGGGAGGATCGCACGACTCCGGGCCGCCTCGTTGAAAATCGCGCTCGGTAGTGCGGTGCTCACCAGCGCTGCTCGACGATCCCGCTGGTAGTGCGCGATGTACGTGTCGCCGATCGCAGCGTTCGACGGAAGGGTCGCTCATCCGAGGATACGCCGATGTTGATAACAATGTCCGTAAGTATGAGCACGCTTGCCGCGGTACACGAACGTGCTAATTGCGCGCGAAAATGCTAAATGGGAAAATTGTGCTGGGGGAGGGGGAGGGGGTTCCCCCCCCGTTACGAGCCTCGTGGAAAAGCGCGGCGGCACCGCACTCGCGTGTCTCTACGCTTGGCGCGAAACGCGCCGTGTCCCTCGGCTCGCTCTCGCTCGAACGCGCGGATTTTTTGATAGAACGCGACCGAGAATGTTGGATTTGATATTCGGACGTTGACGTTAATATAGTGTTTCCCGCGCCCGCTCGCTAAGTCTCCCGAAGTACCGCTTACCCGTCCCGCAGATTGTGAAAATGAATAATCCGATTGTATCACGATTTTCAGGAGTTTAAATTTTCGGCAAAAAATGAGATCTATAAGGACGGCGCTGTGGAGCTGTTGCAAAATTTCGGTACGTGTTTTGTATAACAATAATCAGCTGTAACATAGACTAATACTAATTGTATAAAGTATAATTCTGTATTACGTCACGGATCTCTCGATGTACCTTTGAAAAGTACTTTTACATTTCCTTGTACACACACGTTAAATGCATCGATATTCTTTTTAATTTGAATATCTTAATTATTACGAGCTGCTTGATGCAATTTATTTGAAGCTGGTTTTAACTGTTGTCAAAATAATTTAGACTTTAATTTAAGATTGAACATTCCGTAAAGATGTAATATGTCAGACGTGAAAGAACACTATGCGAGTTAATTGATGTTACTGTCAACATTCACCATCGCTGTCTTTGCAAAATTCATCTCCTCCATCGAATTGGACCTAAGCTGTGTATATTGTACTTTTCACTTCGCCTCTGCCTCTCTCTTATTTAAAGATCGATCCTCTGAATATTGACGTGTCTCTGATATCGAACGTCTGTAATGAAATCATCTACAGCCACTCTTTTTTATGTGCCCGATAGATGTGGACACGAATTACAATTATTGTGTTGAATATATTTATCGTTGTTTTACGAAAAGTTATTTTTTTTTCTCTCTCAGCTTCTGCGACAACATTCTCTCTCCTCATGATTTTCTTCATAGCATTATACTTTATAACGATCACGACTATTACTCTATGTTACTCTGTGTTATTTTGGGAACTATTATAATTTTGCGATAAACTTCTTATGGACGTCGGTTTTGACGATGCAATTTGTATCCCCGTTTCTGTTGTTTTGCACAAAGAAGTCTGTGTCTCTCCTCTTACCGTCTCGTTACGTGTACCTCCTTCTAAGTGTCACAAAAGTTGCGTATGAAAGATAGAATAAAATTACGAAATTACGACTATCAACAGCTACAGCGTCTGATCTCGTTGTGCAGTTATTCGAGCGCTTTTTCAGCAACATCCTTTTTTTTCTTTCGCATATCTGTTTCTTATTTCTTTAAAGTAAAAAAAAAATATATATATACAGGAAGTCCAACCACAAGGTGGAGGTAGATTAGAATAAACTAAAACGTGCTTTTTTGTAAAATTCGCCCTAGTTTATCTAGACAAGCTTGCATGGTGCATAAATGTATGCACGAGGAATCTGATTGGTCCACGTGCATGAAAATATAGACCAATCAATTTCCTTATGCATACGCTTGTGCACCTATGTAAGTTTGTCTGGACAGACCCTTATCGAGTAATGCGGCATCTACAATGAGGTCTTTAAAAGCTGTGTCCTCGATTATGTCCACAATCCAAGAACTGTGTCAAAGTTCTAGTTCCGAGAAATGTGTAGCCAATCAATTTACAGCTCTTCCGTAAAAGATACAGGTTGATTCTTGGATCGTGGACACAAGGCTTAAGACGTAAGATTTAAGAAGGTGACCAATCGCGATGGGCGACTGCGTTGGTCACTTTCCTAAATATTACGTCTTGAAGATCTCATTGTAGACGCCGCGTGATAGAGAAAAACGTCCGATTGTAAGCGAAGGGGCGTGTGAAAGCGGTGGCCCGTACTTGGCGGGCATGTAAAATGGTTTACTTTTTTATATTTTCTACGATCCGATAAGTCGTGTGTCGCTTGACCTTTGGCCCCTCGAATCGTAAGAGATATAACTATCAACTATCTTATATGCCTGCCAAGTTCGGGCCATCGCTTCTCGTGTAGTCATTAGCTCAGACCTTCGTCCGTTCTTCGATAACTCTTGCAAATTTTACAAAGTGGTTATTACCCTTTTTAGTTCATCCATAGTATGAGGGCACACAAAATTGCATAGCTGCGTATGCATAGCACAAGACCGTCTAGACCAATAAGCATGTTATGTAAATCAATATGCCGGCTCAATGCTCGATGTTCACTGGTTCAAACTGTTTTCATGCTATGCAATTTTGTGTGCGATGGCCCTAAAGCTTAATCTACAATGTGCTCTTTGCGTCTAGAAACATTCTATTTTATATCAGCAAATCAAAACGTTTAAAAACTTTGTCGACAATGTACAATTGTACAATATATAATATACAATTTATCAACTTGCAAAAATTTTTTAAACAAATTTTTTGTCTACAAAATAGGATGTTTCTAAATGCAAAGAGCGCATTGTATATTAGGCTTAAGGGTCTGTCCGGACAAACGTGCATAGCGCATGAACATATGCACGAGGAAATAAACCAATCAATTTCTTTATGCGTATACTTGTGCGCCTATTGAACTTTGCCTGGATAGATCCTAAGCAGCAGGTCCATTCCCGTCACTTGTTTGGTTTTGCATCGATCCCTTCTGCGCATCCGACATTATTTTGGTCAAGCCAGTGAGAGAAAAGTTATATGTGTAGTAGTGTAACTTTGATGAGTACGTACACACACACACACCGCTGGCTCGCTGACCAAAGCAATGGCGAAGCACCACGTGATCGGGACCGCAAAGAACAAAGGACAGGGAGCGAACCATAAAAATAATATATCTAGACCGAACGTTTGTCTTTATTTGAATGGGGGGGTAGGTGTTCACGTAAAAAAGGACAAACTCTGTTTTGTGCTATCTCGCTCTCTCTTGTTCACATGCAAACGAGAGAGAACGAAGTTCTACCCTCTACCTCTAACCTCACTGCTCAATGCTCGGTCTAGATACATTACGTCTATGGAGTGGACCTACTAATCAATATAGTAGGAACCATAATTATACTATGGCTCGTCCCAATCTTTCTCCGTCTTTTTCGGCCAGTTTTCCTCGGACACCCTGTATATATACTTACCATAGACATATAAAAGATAGACTGCTTATGAGGTAGTGGGGGATGTCCTCCTGAGGGAAAAGGACAACACCAATTTATTTGGGTATCTATCTTCTTCTAGTACACGTGATCACGTGGGCGTGATCACGTGATCACCTTCAGATCACGTCCACTAGAGGAAGACAGATACCCAATTAAATTCATGTTGTCCTTTTCCCTCAGGAGGATGCCCCCACCTAGGGTTCCACTGCCTCATAAGCAGTCTATCTTTTATATGTCTATGATACTTACATGTAATATTCTTAACCATAGATATAGTAAATATAGACTGAGCGTCCCATTGAATAAGCCGAAGCTTGTGAAGAGAGAGAGAGAGAGAGAGAGAGAGAGAGAGAGAGAGAGAGAGAGAGAGAGAGAGAGGGAATTGAGAGAACGTGAATCAGGAAA